ATTTGCTATATACAMTTCCCAAAACAAAAGCAAACAGAACTTGCTTTGAAAGGAGAACATTCACTTCAGAGAACTAAAGATGGAAGGAATTAGTGAATGATCATCAAAAAAACTAGAACTCAAARTATTTGAGGCTTCTTATTGATGGACATTTCAATTGCCTGGATTTAAAGGTATCACTCCTGAAATGTTCTTCCCAAAGTTAAGTGTAAAATATATGAAAATGCTGTGCTTCTTTGTTATTTGTATTACTTGTTATTATTCATTGTTATGAAATATACCCTTCAAACTAKCTCTTCTTTGAGTATCTTCTAATCATGTAGCTCTAAAAGCCTTTGGGAAGACAAGGATCATTATTCCCATCTTACGGGTGAGGAAAGCTTAACAGGAGCAGGAGTAATTTGATTTGCCCATAGCCACAAGCAGGTTATTGCTGAAGCTAGAAAAACAATCTCAATGTATATAGTTTCAAGTTACTATTTTACCAAAGGGTCAGCCTGCCTTGTCCTTATTATTATGCATGTCCTGTTTACAGTAAAGAAATTAAACTCAAAGAATAAAACAATCRGGATTAAATCATTAACATGGCTCTCTCTTCCAATACTGCACTTTGTGGATGTGCAAAGGGAGAGAGATGCATTAATAATGTCCAATCAGTTATACTGATTGAAACTGGAAAGTTCTGATTACTTAACTTAAATGGAGCCATCAAGTCCATGAAGTTGCCACTGAATTCAGAGTATCTGCCATGCAGCAGTAGGAAAGATTTTGTAAAGCAAAATTCTGCTGAACGTGCTCATAAATATTAGAACATTCTTGATATGCCACATCGAGAACACCGAGTTTGTGCTGCGAGCGAYGAGTGTTGCATATCAATTTGGGGAAAATGCTACTACTTGTATCCAGCAATACTACTAGCAATACAAATTGGCATTACAATGTGTTATACAATTATTTTGGGTCAAAGTAGCCCATTGTACATAAATTCACATAATGAAGTTCAGCTAACAATGGACTTGGCACAGAGAAACAGATCAGCAGCTGCACTGGGAATTCAGTGGGAGAGAACTATTTTAACCTTCAATGTGTGTATGAAATCATCTTTGAAACTGGCTGGAAAATGCAAATAACATACATTAAAGTTATAATTCCTTGAAAGAAAATTCAAGGAATTGCTTGCTTAAAATGCAAACTGATTCCAAAATCAAGGGGTTTTAAGAACTGTGATTAGCTGATGAGAGGTGTTTGAGCCAGCTGATACTGTAGCTGTGAKGGCACCGTATCATTACTGGCTTGCCTTCACTTTTTTCACCTTTGCAGTTACAGTTCACACACAAGACTCCAAACACACTTTCTATGAAGTGTTTTGGAGAGGTATTAAGAACGTGACAAACGACAGAAAACTCGTTCTGTGGTAGCAGGAAAGAACGGTCTAAACAAGGGTCTGAGAGGGTGTGTTGGTAACGCAGTGCAACACGTGTCATAACACAAACAGTGCTGAGCAGTGCCATTAGAGAAATACACAAAGCAGCCATTGATTTTTAATATCAGCATTAAAGGTTTCCATTCTAAGTAATTRCATTTTGAAGGAAATATCTTTAGATGTTGCTGTGCCCACTTAAAAGGAATTAGGAGAATATTATATAAACAAGTGCAGGAAGACACATCTTGCTACGACCATGTTATTAAAGATGATTCCTCCCCTGATATTTAAACAAGACATTTCTACAACTGCTACAGGCAACAGTAAAGGAATTAAAAGCAATGTATTAAAAGGAATGTATTTTTGTTTGGTTGTTTTTTTGAGAGGCAAGTCTAGAGATTATTTTCCTTTTCRTGTGAATAACTGACCAAATGGTCTCTTCTTTCTAAAATTTCAAAGGCCTGCCTGCCTGCCTGAAAACAAACTCATCTGAAAYCTAGGAAATCTGGGCTGCAAGTAAGAGGCAGAGGGTTTTCAGAAGGGGTGAATGAGCACCTGTGCCACCAAATAACCGCATACTGCAGGAATAATTGTTTGGTGGACCTGGGGAAACCACTGGCAAAGCTTTTCCTGCAGATGTTACTCACGGATCAAGCAGCAGCCAGCGGAGGGGTCCTAATAAAGATATTCTCTAGCTAACCTTCACCTTAAGAGTAAAGACTTCCTTAATCCCCAGACACCAGTGCAAATACTAGGTAATACTGGGTTCAAATCTTACAGGGCTTACCTCAAAACTACTGTCCTGTTCTACTAAAGAGTTTCCCTTTAAATTGTCCTGCCAGTCCACCAGCCAAGTCATGCAGACATTTTAGGAGTTTCAGGATATTTTTGAATGTGACAGTGTTTTTTGGGGGGCAAAGCCTGTTTCACTCAAGAGACCAGCACTAGAGATAAGGAAACAGAAGAGGCAGGGAAACCACCCTGACAAGACTGAATCCATGAAAATATTCTGAATTCTGCTTTCCCTAACGCAGCATTTGGATGAGATCTGCAGTGGGACCTGGGCCCCACCACTTRCTCAGCTGCTGTGTCTGAGATGACATTCATGCTCCTCGCCACACGGCAAGAAGCTGAAGAGCCTCCTCAAGAGCTTTTCAGATACATCCAACACTGCCCTCAGTAACACAGCATTAATACCTGCTTTGCAGCAAGTGCTCAGTGCTGCCTGGAAAGCAACTCTGGGATACAAAGCATCATAAAGACGAAACAAACAAACATCAAATATATAATATGACAACAGTTTCTATTCTTTTGCAATTTCCAAATATAAAAAAAAAAAAAAAAAAAGGTAAAACTGCCTAGAAGTCCCTTGTCACAGAGTGACTTCTGTTTCCCAATGCCGCGAGGCAACAGCCTGCATTTGACCTCCTACATTTTGGCTGATCTCTCCACATATTAAACTTTTAATTAAAGAAGGAGGGGGAAAATGAAAATTAAAAAAAATGAAGCAAGAATGAACTTCATCCAAATCAATTTAAATGTACCGTTTCTCCCAATTACTGTGAAGTGCACAGGCCATCATCATAGTGCATCATTACGCTTAGGAATAATCTAGCATGAAGTCCTATAAATTAGCTTAAAGAGCTTGTGTGTTTTCATCTGTATCAGTGGATTTCATAAAGATGTATCACTGGTTCTCAGTGTACAGGGATCTAAATTCAGCAAGCACATTGCATCTATTTTATATGAACTTTAAGAAAACACTAATTTCAGAAATAAAACAAAAATGCTATCATCTGTCTATGAAGCTTAAACATTATGTCAGAGGAATAACAACAACAAAAAATCTTATTTGGTGTTTACACATTAAGTCCTGTTGCCTTAGGATGATTAAAAAAGAAAAAAAAATGAAAAAAAGAAAAATAAGAAAAAAGAAAAAAGAAAAATAAGAAAAGACAAAAGAATAATAAAAAAAAGAAAAGAGAAAGAAAAAAGGGGGAAAAAAAAGAAAAAGAGCCTTATTGTTGGCATTTCTATTCAAGGTTATCTTGTTTTTGGCTGAAAATAGAAAAGGGTTCAAAATTTACAGTAGCACACATAAGAATAACACATTCAGAAAAATTTAATATATAATTTGCAACTCAATTTAAGGAAGATTTCATTTTAGAAGAAGCAGCAGTTGCATGAAAAGAACAATCCGGACTCCCTAGATTCTTGCCTGTTAGTTTAGGTCTGTTAGTTTAGGAGGCTTCATATCAAACCCTAATACTTTTAGTTCTTGACAGTGGATCACATTTCCAAAAACCACAAAAAAGCCACCACCATCAACAAAAACACAGTAATGCAGCTGCTCTAAAGAAATTCTCCTAGAATCTATATTGCATACTGAGTTCTTTAAAAAAAAAAAAAACAGAAATAGCACTATAACAGTTTTGTTTTGGATCATTGGCGAGTACATATATAATGACTTTCACCTCCTGAAACCTCTCTGCTTCATTCTTATGCATAGACTTGAAGGGACATTTATGTGTTTGGTTTCCTGCCTCAGTTCAGAGGATAGAGAGATACTGTAAAAATTTACATTACTGCAGGCATATAGTGATAGAGCTGACAAGCACAAGAAATAAGAGCTTTTATTGCATTTTTCTATCTTTGATGGAGAAGAAAAGTGCAGTCATTTGTTATGACAATAGCCACCACAAAGTTTGATTTGTTTATCTATTATATTACATTTTATTTATGCAGAAAAGTTCTGGAAAGAAATTCAAATTTCAAGATAAATCACAAATTTGACCTATCCATCCAGATGGTGTTTCTTCTGAATTGATCATGTATTTCAATTTGCTGTACCCACTTCTAGTTTATAGTAGTGACATATGCAATGCACCAAGGACACTTGCCGAATCTCAAAGTTAATTTGAATGAAACAGTATTTTATATACTACTTTCCACACCACACTGTTAAGAGTAGAAAATAAGACATTTTTGTTCTTTCACTTATACATAAATTTGCCTATCATAAACAGTGCACTATATTTAAAATAGAATTACARATTTTTAAAATAAATGAATAAATAAATATGCTTAAAGTTTCAACAGATTAGTTTTACTAAAACTCATTATTCTTGGAAGCACAGGTGAGTCAACCCTTTGGTGCAGACAGGAAGGTGAACTGGCCACTTCAGTAGAAAAACTGGGGACTTCCCAGACCTTGGATCTTTCTCTAYATTTCCACTACTTCTTTAAAATCCTTTTCATATGACTTTTCCTGTTTTATTTCTGTTATTCCAAAACAAAGAAATTAAAACAGAAAAATATTCAGCCCAAGAACCAATTTTAAATGTATATTCTGGGTTGTTACAACTAGTGTTTTTTTTTTTTTAATGAAGTTATTAGAAGCTCGTGATAAAATATCGGCTGTAATGAGTTTTCTAAATTCTTCTTTTGCCTGTCTTGATAAAATTACTGCACTGCTGGAGGTATCACTATTATAATACCAGCTATATTATAAATGTATGACTGCAAATATTTCCCTGAAATACCAATTATAAATAATAAGAATTAAAATAGTCAATACCTGTGGTTAGAGGCAGATGAGTGACACTGTTTAGACAGGTGAGAGTGAACCAGGTTGATGCTAATGTTGCTCCAGATAAAAGCAGCAGCAATATAAATTTCAGCATGCCCCTGATAAAATCTGCAAATCTAAAATAAGAGCAAGGATCAGAGCAGTATAAATGCTATTGTTTGTGATGCYTGGCATTTAATTCAATATATTCTCATTAAACATTTCTAAGGCTATAAAACAATTTTAAAAATCTCTTCCTATTGCCTGAAACTGAAAGAAAAAACACTATAGACTGATGATATCTTTAGCTGTCAAGCAGAATAGCCACGCATTTTACAGATGTCAGAAAATAACCACCAAAACACAAAAATCTTGAGGCATCACTGAGAATACTTGGTATGCAGAAAAAGAAAACCTTGTATTTGTTGGAAACAATATCCCACCACTACTCACTTTGCTGTTTCGTCACTGTTTGCCAGTCTCTCTTGGCAGACAGACTCATCAATTAGCATTTGAGGAATTTGATACATTTCATTCAAAATATAGTTAAGATTTATTCCTATGGCAGATGACAAAACTGCAAATATCAGAATCCCCACATAGATGTCTTTTGAACTCTCGAATTTGTAGATAATGAGACTCCCAATGGCTTTGGCAAAGCAAGGTATTTTATTTTATATATATACTATGTGTGTGTGTATATACATATATATATATGTATTGTGTATATACATATATATACGTACATACACACACTCTCTCTCTCGCTCTCTATTTATATTTTTATATATGCAGTCACTCTATATGTGGTTGTACTGGTTTAATATATTTCAGAAACCAAGAGGCTTGGTGCCATTCTTTTCCTCCAGATATGTCCCAGCAATCACCTGGGAGGGGATATCTGCATATTAGACTGCCCAAGGGTTTACACTAGAGATAATAAAAAAGTTTTATACCAGGTGATGGTACAACTACTTTTTCAATTCTCTTTGAAGGAGACATAGTACATTTGAACTATATTACTATACATGGCATAATTATCAGTGCAATCACTCTTTTCAAAAGGGATTTCAATACGGATACAAAAAGTATATATATATTTGTTTTATATATATTATATACATAAAATATATATATATATAATATATTTCAATGAATATATGCCTTAGGAATGTCTTCTGCCCTCAGAGCCCTATGCTTCTACCAGAACAGCTGAATCAGTCCAGCCTGTCGGCTTCTTGCCTCCTCTTCCCTGACAAAAACCACTTTACAGGCTGATACTATGTATTATATATAACTTACCTGAAAAAGCTTAATGCTACCAACATTGACAAGTAGGAGATCTAGCWCCATACGTGTATATACATATACACACACACCTCTGTGCCTATATGTACATATATATTATATATATATATATATCTCACAAGAGATGTATGAGTTATTGAATCTGAAAAAATATCCTTCCTCCTATTTTGACTCTCCCTGTGCTTGAATTTCACAGTGAACTTAGCAGTCAGTAATTCAACAAGTAGATGACGATCAATGCTGCATATGATATTAAAAGCTTGTAACTGTAGTGTTCAAATGGCACGTGCCTTAATCTCTGTAGTAAGACGTTAGCTGCAACTTTTTCCTGATGATTCATACCCAGCAATCAGGATCAGCTCTATTCAATAGCAAGACATTCTTTAATTATTCTTTGCGATCACTAGGGTCAAAACCAGCAACATAAAAAGCTTTTCAGAAGCACGACAAAGTGCAAACTTTGTTCTTCTTCCAGAGAGTCCCTTCACCTGTTGGCAGCCAACAGCGGCATTCCCTGTTCTAACAGACAAGAGCAGTTACATACATACTGCCCATTGGGAAAAAATAAAAAGTACAAAAGCCTTCAGGAAGAGAGATTCACAAAAAATAGGGCTGGAAGGAGTCACCAGGGCATCCTCTATTTCTGTCCTACTACCAGGGATGTGTGTGGATGGCAGGAGGCACCTAAACCGTTCAAGAAAGTTAAGCAGAGCATATATCTGCCTTTACTAAGCAGCTGCAATTCTTTCTCGCAGAAAAGAACATGGTTTTGGTAACAGTGGTAGAAATATCCTTTAAGGACCACTGGAATATCATGGGAATCACAGGCAAAGGACAAATGTAAACTGGAAGTTTTATGTAGCTACTGAATTTAACCAACAACAGAAATAAGGGAAASAGTAACTCAGCAGACTGTCCTGGATTTGGTAAGAGAGGAATTTCTGTTTCTTGTCTGGTTGCAGGAGAATAAAGATGACTATAAAACGAGTCACCTTTTCAGAGCACTAGTTTCAATGCAGTAATTATGGAGCATGCTTTTTATTTTTCCCTCCTGTCCTAGCAGGAATGACTCACACTTTCAAAACCCTCTGTTCTTTTCAAAGTCTTCTTCAGCATCAAGCAGGTAGTTGGGCATCTGCTAGAAACATAGGCACTATAGGACAGAAGGTATAAACTTGCCTATAGCACGTCTAGGACACAGGTCTCTGAGCCTAGCATTGATAATTGTCTCCTGCAATCCCCCCAATGTAGCTTTCCACTCCATCCTATACTTAAATTCCTAAGATAAACCTATGTTATTGACAACACTCTCTGTTGCTAAGGAAATTATCACCATGTCAAAGTTTCAGCATTTTGACTACACTGTTGGTTAAACACTGAAAGATACATTGGGCTGTGAAGGACAAAACCTCAGAAATATCTATGATCATTAGCAAATGTGACAAAAAACAATCCAAGAAAAGAGATTTATGTTTTCAGTGCAAAAATATCAATACTGGCCTTTGACATTGCTCTTCAAATCAGTATCATTCTAAAGCTGCCAGCACTGGGTACAAGACCTGCCAGAAATCCAAAATAGCCCAGGCTTTTCAATTATGAAAATGCACTACACAAATTAGCTAAACATATCTAAGTTCATGGCACCAGGAGAGCAGTGGGTGGAAAACAGAAGGATTTATACACTGTGCTGAGGAAAACTTACACCATTTTGAAAATGAGATAAATAAATTTCCAAACTGTGCATTACTTTTAATATAGAAGATTTAACACCTACTGACATACAGGGACAAATTATCTGGTGCAAACCTCAGGTTGCTGTATATCTAAATGACAGAATCTACACTGCCAAAAATGAGAGGAGCAAATTCCTAAACTGTACCAATTCCTCTTCGACAAATTAGTAGAAGCAAAGTTAGGAGAAAGAAGAGCTTCTCAGGAATGGTTAAGGGAGAGAGCTCCTTGCTTGGCAAGTCACAGCTCTGACATTGAAAAACATGAGCTTGTCACAGTTGACAAGAATCATTACCTAATTTTCCTAATTACAACTTTCAGCAGATTACAGTCCGATTCGTCATTGATTCAATGCTACATATAGATAACTGCTGAATAGGCTGAGGAGGGAGAGTCATCCATCAGGTCTGACAAATTGCCCCCTCCCTCACTTTTTGTGGGCAAACCCTCCAGTTTCAACTGCCTGACTTGGAAAGACACATTTGAAGACAGACTGTTGGAATTTACTCAAAACCAAAGCCCTGAATGCTACAAGAGCCTGGTATTCAATTGGGTTTGAAATCAATTCCAAAGTAGTTAGCCTGTCAATGTTTCCTTTTACTTAACCTGGGCAATATATTAAATAAATTCATATTCCATAAAGGTTGAGATTTGCGAGTTGGCCCAGAGTCAGAAGATTCCCCTCTGGCAAAGTAAAGGGAGCTGCTARGGGTGCTCCTCTACTTTTGAAATGCCCCAATATAAGGGAGATTAATCTCAGATATAAAGGATGAGCCCATCACACAGAAAAGAGCTATCCTTTATCACCTAATCTGGGTCATTTACTGGGTAGAGTTTCCTTCATAACATCTGGTTTTAAATATTGACTTGTTTTTGAAAGAAAACCTCATACCCAAGCAGAGCTAATCAAAAATGCTTTGCAGAAGCAATCAGAATGTGAGCTGGGTTTGAATAAACCGAGTCCTCTGGGTAGCATTTGGACTGAGGAGAAGAAACATTTTGTTTCTTTCCCTAGGTCAGAGGGTATTTTCCTCCTCTCCTTTCTGGCTGCCAGGCAGCATGTCAAATGTCAGGAAGAAATTGCATGTTTTTTTATACATTACCTACTATTTACCATACACAAAAAGAGAGCTTTAAGTTCTGCCATAAGATGGTGCCAGTTTGGGTCTATGATCCCACAGCGACTACAACGATGACAGATCTCTGAGCYTGCAGAACTCATATCCAAAAAGATAACTAGTTTTAAGTGCTTTATAAACTCACTGCTCAAGGAAAGGTGTGGGGTTTTTGTTTTGTTTTGTTCTTTTTTAAGGAAGCTTACGGGGTAGAAGGCCACAGTCTTTAGGCAGGGCTTTCCATCCTGTGCTTTGCCCACTCCCCACGCCATGCAGCATTTATGACAGCCATAGGTATTGGTGTCTGGATATACAGAAAGCACAGGTTCAGCCACTCTACAGCACACAGCAGAGAACTGTTAGGCCATAGCGGCATTCCAACCTAGCCAAAATGGGTCCAGACTATTTTGGGGGTGGAACTTAATGTTACTGTGCTTGTGTTGCCCATGCTACATTCACAAGATCCTTTCAGGAACCATTATGTCCAAAAGTGATGATGGAAGGAGACAGATACACTATTTCTCTGATGTTTTCCAAATCTGCTAGAACGCATAGGATTTTCACTAATATCAGGCAGACAAATTCACATTAACTATATGCAAAGGGAAGCACTCATCAGGAARCACTTGTCAGAAATAACTGTACAACTTGTCAACTTAAGACATATACACATGGACCAGTAAATATGGAATACACAATTCATGGCTCTACAGACACACACATCATAACCCAGGAACTATATATTTTCCATTTCAAGTACCTAAAAGATGACAGAGAGTTAGTGAGAGTAAAAGCCAAATTACAATGACAGCTGAAGAAATGGAGAAGGACATATAATTAGCCTTACCTTGCCATTGCTATGCCAACAACACAACCTCCAACTATGGACCAAAATCCAATCCAGCCTGCATCTACCTGATGGAGAACAAAGAAATGAACATGGAGGAATGCATTGAAATGAACATGGAGGAATGCATTGAAAATATGAGATTTTACTTTCAATAAAGTAAATAAATAAAAAGTGAACAGGGGCTGCAAAATGCTAGCAAACCATTCTCTCCTGATTTGAGAGCAATATTTTTTCTAGAATATTTTAAGGAAAAGATATGTCCAAGAAGCCTATGACCTAAATGTGACCTCTCTTTATACAATGTCCCCTATATTATACTTTTTAATAACACTCTAGCAAAAGCTTAAAAATCCTTTTCTCTCCTCTTCATCCCTTCCACCTGGTAAACATCATTTTCTTTTACTAAAGCCAACTATACTCCCACGTGCTTCTGCCTCTGCTCCTGTCAGAAGGTGCATACAGCTCTGAAAGTATCGGCCAGTRGTGAAAATTTCACAGGAAGAATCATGACAGTTTGGAATGCCAAAGCTACAGTTTATTTTGTTTTAAGTTTCAGGAGAATGATGGCCCATATGTATTAATAGAATCTTAAACAAGAAAACTTGCTAAAAATTGTACGTTAGTGCAAAATAAGAACATACCACTTGCAAAATAGCAGCTGATTATCAGCCAGGAGATACTTACTTGGCTTACATGAACTGGTGTTAATATCAAATCCAGAACACCAGACCAGCCAGAGAAAACACCCAATGGTATAGCATAGGCTAGGGCAATCATCAAGAATCGGAAATTGCTGTGAAGACAAAACATGCACAATTAGCTGCTGCTTATATTAGAAATTGTATCAATATTAGCCTTCAAAAGGAAATTACATCCTAGAATCTATACTCTGCCCAACCAGGAAAATATCGAAGAATGARTAAGCCAGAAAAAACAAGTAAGGTATCCAGCTATGTCACTAAAATTCCAGCGGTTGAGATATTACTGCCTTAGCACCATAATAAAAATATATATACACAGAAAAAAAAGGGAAAAAAATGCCATTCTCTCTACCTAGTTCAAAGGTTTTTGTTATGTGCTGGGCTCATGTTTCCCATTTCTGCRAACAAATTAGAGCAATCTATTTAGCCTAAGTATAAATTAGGAACAGTAAGCACTAATTGAGATGACAAAAAGCATATCTCAAGTATAAACTCAGAGATGCATGTTCACTGAACAGTTCTCTTTCTGTTTTACTGTTTTCAAGTTTGTTGAAATGGAGGGCTTGTGGAATGAGTTGGGTACAGTAGCAAGTGCAGAAAACTTAGAGAGTTTGAACCATCAGAAGTAGACATAAGCTTCTGCTCTGAATATTCAATGTGGTTGGATTTTTTCCCAGTTAAAATTATTCAAGTTTCGGTATTCAGTGAGGATGAAGCAAAGTTACTATCTTCACCCCTAGAAAACTAAACGAGAGTTAGCAAGTAATTCCTACCACCACCACCGACAATCCCCATCCCTGTGCCATGTGCTCTGGGTGTCCCTACTGGAGCAGAGGTGTTGGACCAGATCTCCAGAGGTCCCTTCCAACCTCAACCCCCCTGTGATTCTGTGTGATTCTGTGATTACTGCAAATGAAAGCAAATACAAAACTTCTGCTAACAGAGGTCCTATTCTTCCTCTGAAATATTTTGATTTGGGAATAAATACAGAAAATATACTTCAGATTCTGCAACATTGATATTTCTAAAGATTTTGACGGTCATTCCAAGTATTTTGTTGCTTCTGAAGTTCTTCCTAAGGTGCTATCTGTGTAGGCACCATGAAATGTGCGTCCCTCCATCCTTCGAGTAATTTACATAAAATACTGCTCAATATTCATTCCTTGGCATGCAGTAGCAATTTGATAGTACATAGTTACTAAAGCCAAGAGGAAGGAAAAGAGCTTCAAATATTCTCCAAAACATTTAAAGGTTTGCAGCTTATGCTTTTTTTACTTCCTTAGAAGATTCAAAACACACCATTCTTTGGCTGCTATTCATTTTCACACATCCTCTTCTTGAAAAACACATTTACATCATATGAACATATCCTCCTCTCTCAATATCATTCATGTCAGATTTATTTTTTAATGCAAAGGAAAACAACTCCCAAACTTTCTGTCTTCCATGCTCTGATTATATTTCTCAGAATACATTTGCTTTCTTCTTGACAACTTTTTTTCTCTCTTAAGAATGTGATACTCTTATCTTAATCTATGTTRTGCTATCTTGGCATCTATGAAGGCAGGCTTTCTGAAATTATTTAAGACTATCCATGTAAAAGTTATTCCAATATTTGTAGAATAAAATAAAAGGGAAAGTGTCCCACCATCCATCAGTCAAGCCATGCTGTTCCCCTTCATATCAACCTCTATGATGGTGTATCAGCAATTAGCCACTTTGTTCAGACACTTTGCTAGAATGTGAATTGCTTTTTTTCCTCCCCCTAGAAATCTATTCCAATGCTACTGGAATCCATAAGGGAGGCTAGTTCAGAAGGGAGCACTATCAAAATCACTCAGCATTTTTGGAGAAGTTTGACAGTGCCTACTATTATCAGCCATACTGTGAGCAGGTTCCTGACTGGATAGTGATGCCACATGATAGTTTCATTAAAAAAAAAAAAAAAAAAGAAACGAAAGAAAAACTCTATGAATTCTATTATGAGCTTTCAGAATTGCTTGCATAGTCCCTTGAAAAATATAAAACTGCATACAAGTGGCTAAGAGCATCTAGTTACTTCAAAGTAACATCACTACAGTTTTTTATAATGTGAAATTTTAAAATGACTCATCAACTATTTGCTTGTATTAGATTTTTTTTCCCTCCATGTAAATCAGTGACATACTCTGAAATGGGAGGGAAAAACATGTTTACTTTACTCAAGAAACTGAGAAAGGGCATGGTACTTTTTCTAATGGAAATGCAAATTACACTTGTCGCAGAGCGTGATAGACTGTTAAAAGAACTGGGCTTAGCTCCCAAACCATGACTAATCTGTCATCTCCCATTGCAAGCTGACAGAGTTGATATCAGGAGACAACCAGAGATCATATACACTCTATAATCTGTGAGAAGGAGGAATCTTTCGAGTCAGGGAAAAGAACAATGTTCCTAAACAACTCCCAGAAAAACATTTATGGAGGATAGTTTTTACAGATAGGAAGATCTATCTGTAGATCTTCCTAGATTTACTWTCTAGGAAGATAGAGAATGCAACTCTGCAAGCAGCAGATCATGGAGAAGACTGCTGAATGACCTGAAGGTACAAAGGAGTGCGCCAGCTGCAAGGATATGACAAGATTTTTCTCGCAGCAAATGGGAAAAAGGTCAATGACTTTAATGGTGTAGTTGTGCTACACTGCTTTATTTTGAAGAAATAAAACTGGAACCTGAAATACAAACAAAAAGAGAAATGATGAAAATCCTGTGTCTCAAGAGGTTTTTTTTTTTTTTTTTTTTGGTGTGTGGGTGGGTACAGTCAGCCCACCAGCTTGCATACGTCCTAAATATATGCACCCAATTTTCAAACCAGGGGTTAAGGCTTCAGTAAGTCATGATTTCTTGTACTTATCAGCTGATTACCTTTGGTCTTGACTGATATGTCAGGAAAAGACTCTTTGTGCCAAGAATTATGAAATCTAGATTAGGTAAGCGAAGAGCTTAGAAGTCTAATGAACCAGATGACAGATTTCTGTTGAAGTACAGCAGATACCATTTTCTTTTATAAAACACCCTTGCTTGACAGATTGTTGCTGAAAGGCTCCCCAAGATAAATGAATTTAATGATGAACTGTTGATTGTTCCATGTGCTGAGGAATGAAGAAGTGCCCTTGATAAGGACTAGCATGAAAGAATGCAGAAGACCAGAGGAAAGGGGGGGAAATGATCTACCCAACTGTGTTTCAAAAATCCTCTTGGATCTCGCAAACACTGCCAACTGTGCTCATGATTTAGCTGTCCTGTTTCTTTTGTTGACTGGGGATGGCAAGTCAGTTTTACCATTTACCTCCTGACTTCACCAGTATCTCAGACCCAGTGTTCACAGTACTTTGAACAAGCAATCTGTTAGTTGCCAAGCTCCCAAATGGAGAACTGTCAAAGGAAATTTTGTATTTCACCAGCAGTCAGGTGTTGTTTGGGTTTTTATTTGACAGCAACATTTTTACAATACAGCCCTCAGGCAGGGTCTCACCACACACCAGCTCAGGTGTGTTACAGCATTACTGCATGCATTAAGTGAACTTACGGGGACAGCTTTTTTTTTTAATATCCTGAGTAGCTCACATTGCAGGCTAAGCCATCCAGCTGCATTCACACTTATTCCCAACTGTGAGCCTGCTCCAGGCTCAGAAACATACATGAGTAAGCATTTTCTCTCACACTTCTGAACTATATAGAACTATTGAGTCACCAGAACTGAAACAAAATGCTCAAAAAATACCAAAAAAACCACCCTACATGAAGCAGGGCATGAGCTGCTTTTTCTGATCCTAAGTACACTTTTATGAAGTGCAGCACACAATAGGTCTCTAATAACTAAATGCATAAAACTCTGCACTTATCCTATCGAGTTTTAAGTACACCCATTTTACATAGATTTAGCTCCCATTACTAAATTACAGAAGAAACAATTGCAGCAACAGTTTGAAGCTATCATTGAAGTCAACCAGACTCTGCATCATGACAGCAGTTCTCTTCTGCCCTGAGAAGTCTGTCTGCAGTACCAGGGCCGGGGCAGAGGGCTGGACCACACATTCTACAAATGCTGGGAAGGAGACTGCGTCTTATCAAAAGACCTTATAATCTAAGTGGATAGGAAAACAACAACAACAACAATCTGCAAAGTAGAAATGTCATTTTACTTTAAAACACCAACAATTCTGAAGAAAACTAATTGAAGTACTTGTCCCAAGTCACATTTGGTCACTCCTATCCCCACTCCACATTTTAACATAACAACAAATGATATTCGGGTCACATAATGGTTTCAGATATCTCATTCCCTTCTCCCACTGCTGAATGAGAGCAATTGGATATGCCTTTGACTGACAGGCAAAACCCAAATTCATTTCAACATAATGAGCAYTGAAGAAAGCAGCTTATTAGCTAGYCCAGCGTTAACAAGATATCTCACACCTATGCGCACTTCTAACAATCTTGTATGAGCTGATGTAACAGAAGTGTTGTATAAGAAAAGCTGTGCTAACAGGATGATTACAGCAGTGTTGATGCTGAAGGACTCTGGCATGAAAGCTTGTGATATACTCAATGCCTGAATACTTAATGTCGATGCTTTTTAGCAGTTAGTATCCTTTTATGTGTCTGCATTAATATTTAATTTGATTTTGTTTAAAAGCACTGCAAACTAACTTGTTTGTTCTACAAGAAGATTAAAGCACGCTTGTTTTTGTTTACTTAGGTGCTGAGCTGCTTTGAAGTGGAAACCCGAAGAGAACCTACCTTAAGAGCCTACAAAAACTCCTCCTGTAGCTAAGCCGTTGACTAGCTGCAGCCACGCTGGGAGGGAACGGAGGGCGTGAGGGGAAGTAGGCCAACGCTGCGGAAAATATCAAGGAAACCATTCCAAATTCTAAACAAGAGGGCAAAGAAAAACAAAACAGAGAAGGGATGTTAGAATCAAAAGACTTCTTTCAGCACAGTATCATCAGTTAGTCTGCAATACAATACACAAACTCTACCCCAAGTGCTTTACTGCTTGCAACACCAGATCTCTAACTTGAAGGAGTCTTTTTTTTTCCCCCCCCTCCATAGGCAAGATTTTCAATTAGGATAAAGAATCAGGGAGATGGAGAAATACTGGAAGGAGCTGTGGAGGAAAAGCTCATGTTAAAAGCTGAGGGACTAAGAGAAGCGAAAGGAAAGTTGTCAAGAAGGGGGACGGATGTGGTCCGTAAGACAGATCGATCCGAGTGAGTCCATTTGCACTTTTAGAGAGAACTGCAATATGAGTAAATGGTTGCGTTTCCTTGTGACTGAGGTAATAAGATGCAGGTAAGCACATGCTGGGGATTCTGAACAGATGGGACTGGGGAAGCCTCAGGGCGTGGAATTGCAATTTGGAATTGCAATTATGCAGTGAGCAAGAGGATGAAGGTAAATAAAAGGTCAACCAAGGCAGCATTTTGAGCACGAACAGTATTACGTGGCAGTAGAAGATGAAGAAAAAACTGCAGAAGAAGCCATGTCTCCAGAAAAGAGGGAATACAGGTAACAGGGAGAGAAAATGAAAAAACAGAGCTACTGCTAGATGCTCTTCTTGTTGAGCAGCAGGTATTCTAGATCTTCAAAAAAATTTCACAGTAGAAATTTCGATCAGAAGCTGCAAAATAATGACTACCTCATGGAAAACCCTCACCAAGTCCTGTGATCAAACATTCTGAGGGAAAACAACTCCAGCCATAGTTGGTCTAATTTGTTTTACAGGACTTCACAATGGATGTGGTGTTCTCCACAGTCAGGAATCCAAACATTTTTTCTATCCTCTTTGAAAACATGGTTCTTTATGTTTCTTTATGTATTTACAGGAGATAAAAACATATAGCTGTAATGTGTTATCTTAAAAAGAACCTGTGATCTTATTGCAATGAAGTGCTCACCACCACCACAAATAAATTCCAGCAGAACCGGATACTCAGCTGCTTTAATTTTCTTTTTTCTTTTCTTTTTTTTTCTGTTTGGTAAAAATATCTGGATCAAATCTTCTATACGGGGAAAAAAAAAGTTTACATTAAATTTCGTTCAAAGGCTTACTGGGAACGTGACAATGCCATTCTCTGAAGTCACTATGAACTACCTGGTATCTCTTTCTTACTGCAGTCTAATTACAGGTTTGGAGGGTCAAGGACGCTTGAACTAGACCATCTTCTCATAACAATTCCTCTGTGCTCCACAAACAGATTCATTTCTGTCTCAAACATCATTGTTTTCAAGAACAGGAGTAATGCAAGAAAGAGTTGGTCATAGTTAGATCTAAGAAAGAGAGGATCCTTCACTGTAAGGTGGCATTGGACAGGGAAGCAAAGTTTGCCAAAAGCTTTCAAATAGCTCTTTATTGCTATTTAGCCCCTTCTGCATCTTAGTCTACGTAGCAGTTTACAGGTACAGGCAAGTATATGCACACATGCACATTAACTGCAACTTGAAAGAAAGATTTCAGCACTGCAGAAGGGTGCAGCCAACAAGAACAGACGAGCACACAAACATCTGAGGTGCTCGCCTTTTATTATATTACAGTGTTACAAGGGAGAAGTTCTGTTTTTCTGTGAGGAATGTGATTTTTTAAGTCACAGTAGTATTTGACAATACCTTAAAACTTTTCTCAGGCAGATTACAGCAGTAGGAGCATTACAGTAACATTTTTTTAATTATGAAATTTAACATACAGTCCTTGCAGCACTTTCTTGCAACTCTAATACTTCAATGCTGTATTTTTTATTTGCCTAGCAAACAACCACCTGCACATACACAGAGCAAATTTCTCTTTGAGAAGACCCAAGCTGCTCCCTCTATTAAGGGATAAATGTCTTCTGTGTCTGCCTTCTGCCAAGGAGCAAATCTGAAATGCTTCACGGAAAAAAAGTCTGGGCCCCACACCACAATGACCTGAGAACATGAAAGAGGAGAGATGCCTTCACCTTAGCTAGGAAGCAGGTACCCTGCTGCCTGAGTAAGCCCTAAGTGGGAACGGCAGAGGTTTACAGAGATACCACGTACCTTGATGCAAGTTTTTTTCTATTTGAAAGGCTATCCACAAGACTAAAACCAGAACCAAAACACCCTCCAAATTAACCACAACCTCCCAAAAATGGCAAACAAAATGTCCCCACCCTAAGCCTGCCCTGAACTGCAAGGGGGAATTCTACACACACACACACACATATATATATGCATATACTTAACAAAGAATGATTTTACTTTAATGTTTAGGAAAGCACACGACTCAGAGCTCTGGCTGGAGTCCAGAATAATTCAAGCTTACTTATGCAGTTCAGCTAATACAACTCAATCCTGATTTGCTACATCTCTGCTATTCCAGATGTGAACCAGAACGTGTAGAGACACAGAAAGAAGTTGCAATAATTTAGCTGAGCTCTTAGTCCACATTTGAGTTAAAAGAGCAGCAATTTATTAAAACACAGACGAGACGGGAAGTACCAGAGCAATTTTGGAATGGGTTTATAAGCAATTGCTTCATAATCACATCTGAGGTTAAGTTCTTGCAAAATTGACATATTCGTGGCACGCTACTGATCCCAAATTAATAATTCACATTATACAATATTTTAGAAGACAACACTAACTTTTGGAAGCTATTTAGCTAATGTTATCTCATACAGCAGCAACAAGCTGCATCATAACCAAAGCACATGTTAAAATGCAGAGTGCTTACCCTGTGCCACTGTCTTCTCTGGAGCATTTTAAACAAAAAGATATGCCAATCCTGACTRCACTCGCTAAGAAAAAAGATAATAATTCCTCCACTCACCCTGACTTCTCACACATAGCCCTATTTAGGGCTGGTTATCTGATCCTGGTAGTTGCCTCCCTGATTTCGTCCCCCATTCATACATCAAACGTCATGAACAGTGATGGCTGCATCCCAATGGATGCACTTTTCCCTCTCTCACACTGACCATTCTGATCTGCCACAAAGTCTTCAGGGTCTAACATCATATTTATCTCTAAAAAAGGCCTAAACAAAACCAAATTTCTTTGTTTTACTATATTTAACTCCAGTAAAAAAGTAGATTGCTCAAAAATAATAAAATACTTGCTTAAATACTCATCTGACTTCCACTATATTTTCTTTGAAGTAAGGCAAAGTGGCCTTGACCCAATAAAAGTATTAACTTGATTAAGTTTCCATAAGAATAACAGCCATGAAGAAATGGTCACAAAAAGCCAACTGAATCCCCATAAACTTGAATATAAACTACACTGTACACAAACTTTAAGTCTTCTGGAATGCTCAAGGATAACTCCTAGCTGAATTTCAGGCTGGAAGAAAAAAAACAACAACAACAAAATCACCACTCCACAATACCACATGTGGCATTGACATGACATGGTAAAATTCAGTTGTTCTTAATGCCACATGTATTTATATCCACTAAGAACCATATCATACACTCTTAAACCAGTTAGGCAACTCTTTTTCTTCAAAGCTTGCTGCTGAGCATGGTTAATTTATTTTCAAGTAACACAAAGAGCTACAGAAGCAAGAAAAAAAAAGGAAAAAAGCAAGGAAAAGTTTTTTCTGGTAAACTTTATATCAGGATTTTCTTCTACTGCACTGTTGTCACTTCACTAAAATTGCTCAGTGTATAAGAGTTATGTGATTTCTGCTAAAACAGAAAGTCTATTCAGTTTTAATTCCAGCATCAGGTTCTGAAATACTAATCATCTAATCGCATTTGAAAGGCATATGTAAATCCTAAATGCAGGCTCATTTAATGCTGAAAAGAATTTAATATTGCAAAACTACTGGATTTCCATCCTCATTTCTCATCCTCACAGAAATCCATGGAAATGAAAAAACAACCTGGAATGGACACATTTATCAATGAAATTGAGGAAATGGTACTTTAGAAGCTCTCCTAGAAGATGTTTCTCCTAAGCTCAGCTGGTTCAAACAACCGAATGACTCCATTTAGACTCACTCTGTACAAAAGGCCATTTTAAAGTCTTTCCTGCACTAAAAGGAGCACAACTTAACTCTTTTGAATAACAAAGTGGTGAAATTCTTTACTGTGAGGGTGACAGAGCCCTGGAACAGGCTGCCCAGGGAGGTTACAGAGTCTCCTTCTCTGGAGATCTTCAAATCCTGCCTTGGTGCCAACCCTGTGCCCCGTGCTCTAAGTGTTCCTGCTGGAACAGGGGGGTTGGACTAGATGATCTCTACTGGTCGCTTCCAACCTCAACCATTCTGTSATTCTGTGAAATATTCTACTATATTCCATCTGTTTTTCCATCCAAGTTGGCCTCTTGGCCGACCAGCCACTAGAGGGCAATAGTCTGCAAATACCAGCAAAYGCATCAGTGACTCAACCGAAGTAAACACCTATTTTAAGATGTTGTTATTATTTTAAATCGCACCTGCATACAGTACAGCCTCAATGCGGTCCTTGATGTGCTCCGTGTTGCTTCCTGACCCGAGCTGATGCGATGATCCGTTGGGAGAAGGAACAACGAGAGGTCCCACCAAGAAGGCGCCGGCAGCACCCAGGTAACTGAGCAGGGACGCGATGGCTGTGGCCGTGGCACGTTCATCTGGAGAAAACCACGTTGTGGAGAGGAACGGCGCCGCGTTCATCACCGTCGGCCCTGCCAGCCCGTTTAACAGTTGTCCTCCGTGAATCAGTCTGCAACACAGAATAGAAAGCAAAGCCATTTAGGTGATGATTGTTTTTTATTTATTTATGAAATAATGGGAAAAACRAGCAGTGCTTGAGATTGAATAACTGTGTAAAAGCACTAGAAGTCCTGAGCAAATAAATAACGCTCTCTGCACTAAAGGATGCCCAATKAGACCAGGTTAGAGAGCCCAGGGCTACCTCACTCTCATTCTCTCCTGGAAATGAAGAAGCCAATGCTGCTCAGAGAAGGAAAGCAAGAAGGAACTAAAAGGACTCTCTTTGCAGAAAAAGGCATCATGACAGGATATAAAAGGCCAGAAGGCTTTAGTAGCAGGGAAGCTCTAAAAATACAAACACCAGAAACCCGATCCGTTCTGCGTCTGCACAACAACAGAAGATTTGAATTCGTTATGTCAGCTCCAAAACTGAAACACTTTGGCAAAATACTCTGCGTGTTTTTTTCACTGCATTATTTATTTTCACTCGTGCGCTCAGCCGAGCTCCGCGTCCCTGYGGCTGAGGCGGCGGCTGGCGAGGGCTCCGCGAGCCACGGCGCCGTCTGCAATCTGCCCATCCTCAACACGTTGCTGGAAGAGCCCAACAAAGCCCATTTCTCCTTGTTTTTCACACTCACTGGGATTTAGGAGATAATACTGGTGACAAAGCTGAGATACTAGCTCCAAGCACTGGAGTCCTTGCTTAATATTAGCACAACAAGCATATGAAAAAAGCACTTTCTGAAGCTTTTGTAAACGTGGAATCCAGCCAGAACTCTTCCCTCTTTGACTTTTGCAAAAGTGATCAGCCTTGAAAGGCAAAAGCATTTTGGCATTTCTACAGAAACCCCATGTCTGAAAAGAACAGCGAGCAAGTCAACCAAAATATTGTACCTCTCCAGAGCAGATCATCCAATGTGCAATAAAATTGTGGCAGATGCTATTTTAAAATGGATGGGGGAGGGAGGAGAGAAGAACTCTTTGGTTTTGTAAGTGTAGCGTGGACTCGGTGTTGCTGCTGCAAGACTGGAGTTGTCAGACATAAAAAGCTATGGTCTGCACATGAGAAAACATAAGCTTGTACCTAGGCAATATTTCAAGTCACAAACAGGTAAATAATACACAGATTGGCAGGAGTCCTTTTTTTTKKKGGKTTTTTTTTTTGGTTGTTGTTTTGTTTTATTTTTAAAAAAAGGCACACCAAGGAAAAGGTATTCAAGAGAAAAGCTGACACACTGCTTATCAAATTAACAAGCTAGCTTGCAATAATATATACTACTAATTCCCAAGGGATCAGGAATTAATTTTTAAGGAAATTTATAAAAATATACATTATTATATATGACAACTTTTCCTTTTAATCTGAAGGAGATGCTTGCCTACTTAGAAAGGCGGCGGCCTCCATTATTAAATAAGGAAATGTTCTTTTTCTAAAGTTTATATAGCAAGGACAGATTTCACTGCTATGTGTACATGAGGTGCTTAAGATGGACACCAGAAGTTAATCACAGTCCACTCTTGTCACTACTCATTAAACTGGGTAAAACTCCAATAAAACAAAACGAACTAGTTCTAAATAACTAAAAATCATTATCAGAATCATGCTTCAGTTATTTTGTCTTTGGAGCTGCAAAATGTGAACTAATCACTAAAAGGTGAACTCAGATTTATTCTCCAACCACTGTGCTTCAGATAAACTAAGGTATCTTCGTGTACTTTGGTATTTTCGTTCTACTTATCTCACTATATTATTCTCCTACTTACCCTAAACTGTTACAAGATATCTGCACAGACACTCTCCATCCCCAGAAATGGCTGCATTTCAGTGGCAAGTTAAAAATCTGCACATTTAAGTATTTTAATATTTTTTTTGCCCCAGAGCAAATTTAATGCTTAAATTATGAAAGTTAGGAAAATCGTGTTACCACAAAATAACTTCTTTAGCCAAAGATTATTAACACATCTGTTCATTTACACCACTATAACAACATTGTTCTTAAAACTAAAAAAAAAAAAAAAAAAGGGGGAATTTATACTTACTACTTTCATGTTGCTACCCTCCAGGCATGGATTATTTCTAATCAAATGCTACTATTCAATAAAGCTCTGTGAGTGACCTCTGTACTACAGGGAGACAAATATGTTAGTTTTACTGTGCAGATCCAAAGGGGAAAAAACAGTATTTTAATTCAGGATTTTATCTGAAACCTAACTCAAGACAGAAAAGTAATGAATTTWAAAAATCCTTTATTTTTGCGACTGTGTAGGACTTTCCTGTTGACGCTCCCATCTGCTTTCCTTCCTGCCCTCGCCAGTCTGGCACGCAGTTTGTTCCGACTGCTTTGCCTTTTTATCTGCATTTCTGGCATCTATCAAACTTGACATTATCATGCAGGGCAGGGCATCTCCAGCCTTCCTACAGCTTAGTCTTTCGAATCGAACTTACTTGGGTTAATAAATACTATTTTCAGAATAAATTGCCACTGCTGTAGAGACTGCCTCAAACACCTTTGCATATGATTGTAGTCTAAACCTTATTTTATATCYTGTTCAAGTATTGGCTTGAGTTAAGCTACTTTCTCCTGAGAAAAATATTATTTGCCTTGCTGTTCTACATCCTTAAATCATCTCCCTAGAGGGACAGGGAAGAGATATTCAAAATGTGGTTCAGTGCATTTAGTAATCTGCTGCTCCGGGAGACACATGCAGCAGCCGCTACAGCTGACAGAAATATGAACACATCACTAGTGTCTTCTGCTCTTTGTCCYGACGTCTTCTTCTAAAATATTTTAAATACCTTTTACACTAACAAGGAGATTTTTAGCTGTTCTTTATCCACCTCCATTCTATTTTCATATATGTTATTTGTCCAATCGCCATCTGATTATTTTCATATATTAAAATGTAGCAAATTACTGATTTCAAAAAACAGAAAATGTCACAGAACAAAAGGCTTTTGTGAAGCAAAAGCACAAACTTGGAAACACAAACTTGACATCAAAAATTCACCTTGATTTACAAAATAATTGACTGCTATCTACCTTAACTCAGAAGTGAGCAGGTGAACATCTACACAATGAGGGAGGTCAGAGATTCATTTCAAGAAAAAAAGGTTTTTGTAATCCTACCCCTGGGCTTATGGATTTGTTTATGTTCTGACAGAATAGTAACTTGCACCTGAATATATAAGCTCTCTACAATAAAACATCATGATTTTGGGGACTGGCACTAAACGTTAATTATAAATATAATATGTCATACTATCATAGAAATGGGTACATTAAAATTTATATATACACACACGTATATAGTTTTTTGTTAAAAAAGTAAACACAGAAATGCATTCTTACGCAGAAGACCATGTTCCTAAATTGGCCTATGATGTGAAAATTAGGGGGGGAGATGGTGGTGTAGTTCATATACAGTAACAGAAATTAGAGAAAAGTCTTACTGCACTGCATCACCTTCTCATTTTCAAATTTTTGTCAAGTTTTAAATAACTCAAATAATAGCTCAAATTATAAGGTTTTCATCACTTCCCCTGGAAAATATTTTACATGCAGCAACCAAGTTGCACTTGCTTTATTCACTCCCTGCTGTTACACTTCAAATATTATAACAAGCAATACCCCCCAAAAAAAAGGATGTAAAGCTATAAATGCTGAAATTACAATATCACTGAATGAACTGGGTATTAAAGAGAGAGAACGATTATACAGGAAAAAGGCTTTAGTGATTGATGATAACATTCGACAGTTAAGATTGGAAAGAGCTTCCATTTACAGTCTGCTTTACTTATCTTTTTCTTCCTGCAGAGGTTGAAACTTTTCATGCATGGTCACAGTCCCATAAAGGATTTGGATTTGTCGAGCTATTCAAAAGCTGTGTGWTACATAAACACTTTCCTCTATGTTAAAAGAGCAGACGTTTAGTATTTCTAGCACAGTATGTCTCATGCCTAGGATTAAGGGTCTTATTWAAAAAAAAAAAAAAAAMACAAAACTCATTATTTTCTCAGGTGGCAAAACAAAGGCAGTGGTGGAGGAGGAAATGAGGATTCCCCCAAGAAGTGTCCTTTAACACAACTGATTTTAACACAAAACTAAAAAATTGAGTCTTTTGACTCAATTGACTCAATCCGTCAATTGAGTCTTCTTTGAAAGGCAAGGAATGGAGAATTCACACGAGTATTTTAACACTMATTTGCAGGGCGGAAATAGCGTTTTCACCTTTTCTCTGTCAGGTAGAACACTAGAAGAGTGAAGCAGTCAGCCCCAAGGTGCTGCTCTAACATTCTGAACATAAATCTTCCCTGCCAGTCTTTGATGGGCTCCAGGTCAACTGGGATATTAGGTCTGTTTAGGGGCCTGAAGGGAGAAGAGCTCATCAAAAGCCTTGTGGAGACAGGCCTTTTGGTTCGTGTTTGGTTTCTTTCCCCCCACCCCCTTTTTTTTTTTTCTCCTTTTACCACCTGCTTCCACTAGCTGCCATGAGAACTGATGGCTTAGTCCCTATCTGGACTTCTACAGACATGCAAAGAAAATAATTGGCAATTCAATTTTGCTGATGTTTGCCAAAGTGTGAGATGCAAGGGAGCCACCAACAGCACCTGTCTGCTACTGCAGGAAGACAGCACTGTGATGGGTATCTTACATGGAGGAAAAAAAATGGTAGATTATCTGTTGTTCCATAAATTATCTTGGAAAGGGATTTTGGATAAAGCAGTTCACGTTTTTTACAGAAATGGATGACTTCTTGATTTTTCCTTCACATGCTTTTGATGAGTGAAATGTTTCGTCAAGTAGTGGATTGTTCAAGTCATGTTAATCTGAAAAACAAGTCACTTCATATAGCGACTAGCAAGCTGCGGGAACCCTTGGAAACAAATGAAAGGGAGCTTAGCACTGAAAGACTCAGAGCGCTTTAAGAAAATGTTGGATTTAGCCTTATTAGATGGTAACAAGGTGAGCAAATACCTCCCACTCCAGGGCGTCTGAACTGCTGCATGAT